AAGAAGAGATGAAGGAAGATCCAGGAGTGACTTGGGGTCAGACTGCAGAGTTTCACAGGGACCAGATCGGGGGAACTGAGCAAATCGTGTGAGTGTGTTTGGGGGGGGGGTGTTGTTGGAAACCCATAATTAGTTAGAGATGTTGGTGACCTGGGCAAAGATGGGGGCAGACAGGCAGGTCTGGATTAAACAGATCTTTGCACCTTTGCCCCTATTAAAGGTTTCATCTGGGCTTTAGAACAGCATCCATGTTCCTGCTGGAGGGAGGGAAATGAGAGCCTGTTTTTCACCAGCTGCAGTAGGACCTGGCCAAGAAAGACAGACGTTTCCTGAAATACTGTTTGCTCAACTGGAAAATGTCAACACGGGCTTTCTCCACATGCATAGAAATTCACTTATTAATGAGGACCCAGGGCATGCAATCAGAACTCAGAACAAGGCTGTCTCCAGAGCATGAGAGTTGCTGTATTGAACTCATTTGCTCAGCACAGTTAGGCTAGGAGTGTTTTCCTCTATGTGACAGGCAAGGAGACAAGCACAGAGAAGTTGAGCAACTTGGCTAAGGTCACTGCTGGGGTCTCTGACATCACAGCTCTCAGGGGAAAACAGTGATTGGGGCCCAGGCTATCTAAATACCAAGGCTGACTTTGCAATTGGTGTCCCAGATACCACCTCTTCTGGGACAGTGGTCAAGTGTACAACTAACCTCACAGCTGGACTAAACAGATGTCTGCCACCTCTGCCCCTATTAAAGGTTTCATCTGAGCTATTAGTTCATGACAGAGAACAATTTTATTTTCCAGAGGTTATGTTGCTTGTTACAGAGGGAACCATGTAACTGAAGTTTTCTCCGGTCCTGCCCAGCCCCACGGACGCCACAGCTGCTTATAAAATAATCACTCAGAGGCTTATATTAATTAAAACTGCTCAGCCATTAGCTCAGGCCTACCACTGACTAGCTTTTACACTTAAACTCAGTGCATTTCTGTTAATCCATATGTCACCACGTGTTCCATGGCTTTACCTGTGTGCCATTACATGCTGCTCCCTGGACGGCAGGCTGGTGTCTCCTCCTCAGTTCTATTTTTCCTTCCCAGAATTCTCCTTGTCTGCTTATCCCACCTATACTTCCTGTCTGACTACTGGCCAGTCAGCATTTTATTTATCAACCAATCAGAGCAGTGCATTCACAGCAGAGTGATATGACCCATCATTTCCCCTTTTCCTTCTATCTAAAAGGAAGGTTTTAACTTCAACAGTAAAATTACATATAATAGAACAGTAATCAAGCAAGAATTATAGTTACAATATCTAGACTTTGTATTTTGTAAAGTTAAAGAAAATATTCTATCATCTATCCTATATTTGTGAGTCTAAAGTTTCATATCTAATTTTATCTTTTATCATAACCAAGGAAAATTATAACTATCTAGTCTTCAACTGCATCAAAGACCTCAGAAGGATATAATATTATCTAAGTAAACAGGAAGATCATTGTAAGCAACCTCCAAAAATCTAGAATGACAGAGACAGCTGGCTGCCTGGACAGTCACCCAAAGTTCCTCTGTAACATTAAGGCATCCTTCTTCAGCCTACAGGCCTAGAGTCTCTCAGTTGCTTCTCTCTGTGTCTTGTAGAATGTCTGGCAGTTCCTCTGTGAAGCAGGAACCTGAATGACCATCTCAACTTGCAAAGTTCAGTGGTCACCTTCCCATGGGTCCTGTATGTCCAGTCGACATAACATTTGCCAAGCAGTCCGGCAAGAACAGTTTCTTGCCCAAATGGCTATTTTTGCCAAGAAGATAAACTCCATATGGAATGTCTTTGATGCCCATTTTTCTCTTTGAATTAAATCGGTGCTGCCAGAGACAGATGTGTCTCACTGTCCAGAAAGTCTAAGTTTTTAAAACATTTTAAATGCCATAGTCTGTAGGTCTTTGAAGTGCTTGGAGATTACCTAACTAATTGAATTATATCTATGTATACCTAGAAAACTTAACATGACTATAAGTTTGACTATCATAGAAGACATTATCAATCTGTATTTCTTAATTATCCATTATAATTTAAATGAGTTACATAAACATAACACCTTAAACAAGAGTAGAAATACATGTATATTTATAATATAACAAAATCAACTCCAAATTTGTATCAATAAACCAAAATCCATAGCAATGTAAAACATTTTTAAACAAGTTGTTACTATTTATCCTATCCTATCTATATCCCCTTTTCTTCTTTAGAAAGAGATTGCATTTATAATCAACCTGCTTTAAATAAAAATAAACATTCATAAACAATATTTTGGGAATTTGGGCATAACTTCTCATACTACTAAGGGCACTGGCAATCTAATGGGGATCCTGAGAAAATTAAGAATTATGATCAAGTCCTGACTGAAGTAGTCTGTGACGCTGTATTCTCTGAGCCAGTTGCCTTGAAGCTGTTTTTGAATGTTGGATCATCTGGGCCATGGTGTCATTGGAGACCTTTCAGGGGGTCTTGGCTGGTCAAACCTGATGTATCTTAATCTGGAACAAATCCATAGCCTCTTGCTTCCTGTGGAAACAAAAGCAGAGCCTTCTTTCCAAAGCAACATATCCTTACATCCAAATTTTGAAGTCAAGATACCTTAAATATATATATGCTTAATTTAGCAGCCTTTACAATCAAATGTCTTTCTGCAGTTAAAAATATCAAGGACAACACAATCCAGATTCTCTGTATAATATCCATCTTTACGTGGCTTATTTTTATATTACTTTTACTGTCTCTAAAGACTTCATTTTTTAAAACTATTTCTTTATATACTGTCTATATTCATTTTCTTCTCTCTTCCAAGCCTACGTGCATTTTTACACACACTGTAAACCATTTAAAGTCTTGTTCCATTTGAATCTGCCTTATTGTTAATCTATTGCTTTAAACTGTAGAATGACTAGGACTGAAATGGCAGTTTTGGCTGCTGGCTCTGCCCACCTCAGCTTCCCAAAATGGTGGAACTGTTTACCACCAGCTCTGGGAACCAGGCTGTCCCCTGACTCTAGGAGGAAAGTGGGCCTATGCTGCCATCCAGCAGTGTGTAGTCCCAAACCCACCCTCCCTCCCTCCCTCCCTCCCTCCCTCCCTCCCTTTCTTTTTTCTTTTTACCACACAGTGTAATGTGTGGCTTGGAGATGCCTCTGTGTAGTGTGGCATAGGTCAAGCCCGCATGCCATGAACCTGCGTAGAGTAGCTCAAGCCCGCATGTTGCAGTGTCTCGCAGCTCGCACGAGACATGAAGCAGGAGCCTGTTTTTGGCTCCGTTTATAACTGCTTATTAAATATTCTCAGGTTTCAGGTGGAAACTCGAGCTGCTGGGTACCATTTTCATCTGAAGTTTTCTCCAGTCCTGCCCAGCCCCACGGACCCCACAGCTGCTTATAAAATAATCACTCAGAAGCTTATATTAATTAAAACTGCTCAGCCATTAGCTCAGGCTAACCACTGACTAGCTCTTACACTTAAACTCAGTGCATTTCTGTTAATTATATATGTTACCACGTGTTCTGTGGCTTTACCTGTGTGCCATTACATGCTGCTCCCTGGACGGCAGGCTGGTGTCTCCTCTTCAGTTCTATTTTTCCTTCCCAGAATTCTCCTTGTCTGCTTATCCCACCTATACTTCCTGTCTGGCTACTGGCCAACCAGCATTTTATTTATCAACTAATTAGAGCAACACATTCACAGCACACAGAGCGACGTCACCCGTCAGAACCACACACCTGGTAACACAAGAATGGAAAGATTTCTGTGTGGCTCTGGTTGGAGGGTACGGCCCATCATGGTGGGGAAGGCATGGTCACACGAGCGTGAGACGACTCCTCGAATTCATAAAAGCACAAGGTGATGTGTCACATTGTGTCTGCAGCCAGGAAGCAGAGACAGCTGGGAAGTGGCCTGGTGTCACCTCTGAAAGGCTCTGCAACCCTCCAGAGATAGTGTCACCACCTGGGGGCCAAGACTTTAAACACACGAGCCCAAGGGGAACAGTTCACACCTAAACCACCCCCCAGGTGTGCCAGGACTCCAATCCTCAAAGGACTTCCTAGCCCAAGCCATGGCTGTGAGCCCTTAGTGTTGGAGAATATCACCTGGAGAATGTACTTACACCTGTGAACGGTGACACACAGCAGTGGGAGGGTGACTGTCCACCGGTCGGCAGTGACAGAGTGTGGGGACGCTGGGAAGAGACTAGGTCCCACTTTCCAGTTGTATCTTCTCTTTTGAGACATGGAATAAAAACCAAAAACAGGATTCTCACTCTTTAAGGGTCAAGGAAGGGACTGTGACCAGTGAGAGCTGAGTGGGGGAAGGGAGACCCCATGAGGACCAACCAGCCTTGGGGTAGTTACCAGGGTGGAGAACAGAAGATGGAGAGCAGCATGTGGGTGGGGGTGGTATAGAGAGCCCTGTGGATGGGGAAGGCCGTGTTCAAGGGCACCAAGGCGAGACTCTAGTGGGACACGGTAGAAGGGGCGTGGCACTTGCAGACAGCCCGGGCAGGGTGTCCTGTGAGTTCTCAAGGGCTGAGTTGCTTCCTCTTGATGAAGCTCAGCAGGGTAAAGGTTCTAGAGAGCTTGGAAAACAAGGCCTAAGTGTGGCAGGGGATGGCGCGCCAGTGGCATCTCAAGGTGACGTTTGTATATGTTTGGGGCTATTGCTCAGTTGTACTTGAAGGTGGCAGCGTGGACCTGAGCAGGTGAAAGGTTTAGATGCCACTGCAGAGGTGGAGAAGGTGAGGTCAAGAGTCAGTCATCCGAGTGACTACCCACCATTACAGACTAGGAGGTAGAGCACTGTGAGGTCAGTGGCTTGTCTTCTGGGACTGTTTCCTGTGTGGACAGCCAGGGAAAAGGTCAGTGAGATTGTAGACAGAAAACCTAAGACTGTTGTAAAAGCGTAAGGCGGATGGGGCATGTTGTAGGCTAAAAGGCAGCAATGGAACTAATTCAACATGGCGGACAGGTGGTGCTCAGTGATGTACATACAGTGAGTTGTGCTCCTCTCCCTCCTCCTCTCCCTCCTCCTCTCCCTCCTCCTCTCCCTCCTCCTCTCCCTCCTCCTTGCCCTCTTCTACCCTCCTTTTTTCTTTCTGGTCCTTCTCTTTTTCCTCTTCTTCCTCTTTCTCTTCCCCCTTTCCTCCTTCTCTTCCTTCTCTTCTCCCTCCTCCTCCCCTCCCCTCAGCCCCTCCCCCTCACTCCCTCCCTCTCAGCCCCTCCTCCCCAGCCCCTCCTCCTTCTTCCCAAAATGCCCATAACAAGTTTGACTTTCACAATAGACTCTACTCAGTAGAGGGAGAGGAAAGGACTCGAGCGTCCATGTCTATTGATGGAACCAAATGGCAGAGCTAGAATCCAAGATGCCGCTGGGTCTTTCTGGGAGGCAGAAGATTTCCAGAGTGTAGTTTCCTCCTCAGCAAATGGGAGGTCTGGGTGAGATGGGCCTCAGGCACCCATGTTTGCAGGAGCAGAGAATGGAGGTGGGACCCTCTATCACGGGCAGGCAGGCGATGCCATCTTTGTGGACACCCCAAATGCCCCCTTCCTTAGTGCCGCTCTCTCCCCTGGGAAGTGCAGTGTCCCTGTGACCTTGGATTCAGCTGGCATCCCCAGCCCTGAGCCGCCAGAGTGTGGAGAAGATGCGGGCACACCTCGTGCTTCTGCTCATCAGCTCCTTCCTGACACCGATTGGTGCTTCCATCTTGGGGCGCTGCGTAGTGGCTAAGAGGCTCCACGATGGAGGCTTGGATTACTTTGAGGGCTACAGCCTTGAAAACTGTGAGTAGGATCCTTGGCCCCTCTCTCCTCCCCTCCTGACCTCCATTCCCTACCCCGCCACCCCTGCCCACCACCCCTGTCCTACACCCAGCATCTTCTCACACCTCATGCTGTTTCACCTCTTAGGGGTGTGCCTGGCTTATTTTGAGAGCAAGTTCAACCCCTCGGCTGTCTACGAGAACTCCCAATGTGGCTACACTGGCTATGGCCTATTTCAGATCCGAGACAATGAGTGGTGTGACCACGGCAAGAACCTCTGCAAAGTGTCCTGCACCGGTGGGTCCCTTCCTTCCCAGCTCTCAGGGCACTGGAGGCTGCAGAGCTTACACATTTGGAGAAGACAGGAGGAGGGAACTGGCCTGGGCTGTGTCTAAAGTTTGTCCCTGGGAGGTAGGGTCCCTGAGAGGTGGCTGTTGGGAAAGGACATGCTAGCCTGAGAAGGAACAAGGATAGGAACCAAGGCAAGTGGGCCCAGAGGGCGCTGGGATGCTGAGATGCTGGGATGCTGGGAGCAGGGGCGGGGAGCAGAGCCCAGGCAGCTTGCTGGAGAGATTGCTCTTTCTGTCCTATGTCACCCATACTTCACCACTCTTTCCGAAGGGGACCCATACTGTCACCATGACAGTCAGAAGTGGTTGTAGGGAAGAGACAGGACTGGCCAGCACACAGGGAATATATCTGCCCCTTTTAAAGGGACCTAAGAACCTGTGGCCTCGAGGAAGCAGTTGGCCAGGATCCACTGCTGTGTTCCGTGAGTTTCTGGGGCTTTATCAGGAACTTCCCTGGAGCCTTTGCAGGTATCAGTTTGTTTAATGCTCACAGTGGCCTCTCAGGAGTAGGCAATTGGTTCTATTTCTATTTTATAAACGGGGAACTGGGACCCAGAAACAGTGAGTCTACTCACATGACTGGTGAGTGGAGCTAGGGGCAGACACAAATTCCTGAGGTGTGTCTGCAGCACACGGTCTAAGTGTTAACCCCGGTGTCTCCAGGCTTCATTAAAGACGCATTTCCCTCTGCCCTGATTGGTGAGGAGTGGCCCAGGGTCTTCAGCTTCCGGGGGACCTACATCACCCACCCACACATCAGTCTTCTCCCAGGCTGCACCAGGCTCAGAAGCCTCTGTCACCTCTCCGTTCTGTCTTCTAAAGTCCACTGCTCACTCACCCGTGCCCCCTGCCTGACCTGTCTTGAATGGCCGGCGGTGGGGCGAGCAATGGCAAGTGAGGTGTGTGGTCGAAAGACACGCTGGCGTCCTCGAATGCACGGCCTCATTCCGTTCCACTTCCTTTGCAGCTTTACTGAATCCGAACTTAAAGGACACAATTGAATGTGTCAAGAAAATCGTGAAAGGAAAGCAAGGAATGGGGGCATGGTAAGTGGCATGTCTGCCGCAGCCGGTGCTGTGTGGTGCCTTCCTCTGGCCGTGACCAGATACCCAACAGAAGCAGCGGAAGGCAGGCAGGGGTGCAGCCTCATGGCAGAGCAGTCAGGAGGCAGGACTGTGAGGTGGCCAGTCACGTGGTAGTCACAGGCAGGAAGTAATGAGGTGGATGCTGGGTCTCGGTTTTATTTTCCATTTGGTCAACCCAGGACCCTTAGTCCAAGGGATGATGCCCACATTCAGGGCCCCTGCTCAGTGGACCCTCCCTGGAAGCCCTGTCATAAAGACTCGGAGGTGTGTGCTTTGGGTGAGTTTAAGTGAAGGTGACAATGATGACCCACCGCCATGGCTCACAGTAATAACTCTGTGGTGTGTGTGTGTGTGTGTATAGTGTGTGTGTGTAT